AAAATATATAATTTAATTAATTATTTATTTTTTTCTTTTAATTTAAAAAATTTTAAATCAATCAATGTTGAACAAAAAGATTAGTATATTTTATCTCTTACTATTAATTAAAATTAATAAAAATATATAAAATAAATTATTTTAAAATAATAAATTTATATTTTACATAAAATACTATGTAAAAGAGGTAGAAAGTAATATTAAACAAAGCCTAAATACATCACAAAGCTGCAGGAGTATTCTTTTGTTAAGAGAAATGTAGCTAATTTGGACTATGCAACTGTGATTGTGACTCCTAGTGATGTAATTGCCCTACCCACTTTAAGTACTCCACAAAATATGTAACAAGGATGAATAATGAAGAATGACTAAAAAATTTATTTGAGTGCCACATTATTATAATTAATATTATTTTATATAAAATTATATTTTATATATTTAACTTTACTTTCAAATAAAACACCTTAATAAAATATTTTCTCTAATGCATAGATATTTTTTAAAATTTATTTTACCTTTATTTTATTTAATTTATAATTAAATATTTAAATTAAAATATTTGAAAGGAAAAAGTTTTTTAAGAAATAGTAATGGTTATCCAATGGTTGTCTTTGCGTTTGTACTGCTTGACATTAGAGTTTTTAAAATTTTTAGCCCCTTTTAAGCAAAAACGGTATTGTTTTACCCCCTTAAGAAGTAAAAAAAAAAAAAATTTTGAAAGAGTCAAGCTCGGCACAAAGAGCTTGGCGCTTTTTTTTTTTTTTTTTGTTCAACTCCTATTTTGGTCCCTCAATTATTGTATGGATTCTTGATTTAGTCACTCAACTTAAAAAATCTCTGATTTGATCCTTATTGTTTACTATTTTGACCCTAACTTTATCCTTCCATTAAATTTTTGATGATATGGCATGCTAGTTAATGGTACATGCATGTCTTTTCAATAAATGGAATTTACAAAGTGGCATAATACATGATTTGGCAAAAAAATTATTTAAGTAATCCCTAAACAAAATAAAATGACTATATTACCCTTATCTTCAACCTCTAAATACTTCCATTTTCTCTCTCCCTTCCCAACAC